CAAACAATTGAATCCGTGAATAATACGCACCGCGATTTTGATGCTTATTTTTATCGAAAAAAAGTGCGCATCATACACGGGTAAATACTTGATCACAAGCGCGCTGTACTCTGCAACGTACTTGTTCACCGGATTTTTACTGACTTGCGAGCGAAAATCTACTTTTGGAATATCACGAAAATCGAAAACTAAGAAATGTAATTATTCATCAAAAGAAGAATCTTACAATTGCTGTCCTGTCTCCATAATTGTCAAACTTCGAGAGAACGAAGTCCGGCCATGATATATTATCAGGTATCTGCAGGTCTGGATACTTGCTTCTCAATACCGGCATCCTTGTTCTGATCCTCTTGTCTAACCTATAGGCTATGAATAGTTTCCTATGAAGAATGAGAAAAAGACTCGTTAACAGTGATACGACCTCGACTTCGACTGCCAGCTCGTGATCACGAGGAATCAACACAAGTTATGTTATAAGGTGTCATCTTGTCTGTCACGCAAGACGCAAATGTAACGCACGCTCAATTTTCTTTCGAATGCACAAAGGTGAGCAAATTAAAACAATTTATAGAAAGGAACGATGATCCTCAAAACAGGAAAGGGAATACTGAAAATTTAAAAGCTATACAGCCACTAGTATTGGAAAAAAATAGCATTGAAATTGTATGACCGGGGATATAGCAAAGATCTGAGCCATAAAAAGTTCAGATATATCATTCCATTTCCTCAGATTTTCTCGGCCGAAATAGCTCGTTTCCTGGTGAAACTATTTATAATTACAAAAGAAAGGCAGCATATTCTGGACCTTGAGTAATACAACAGAATGATGGAACGGAGAACGGTAGAGCGGTGGAAGGGTGAAACGGTAGAAAGGTAGAACGGTGAAACGGCAAAGGTGAAATGATGGAACGGTGGAACGGTGGAATTCCACCGTTCTACCATTCTACCTATTAGTTCAGTTCTGTCATCATTATCAGGGGTGCATATAGACGTAAGTAGCCTGTCTTTAGGTACGGCGTGCAATCCGCTCAGGAATTTAACCCCACGGTGGAATGTAGAACTGTAGAACGGTAGATCGGTGGATCAGCGGAACGACGGAATATCTTAAGACGCAGAATGACGGAATATCCTAAACCGCGGAATGTCTATTTGTACAAAACAAAATTCCCAAAAATGGGATTGCAATAAAGTAAGAAAATTATTTTTAATGTACATGCAGGCGAAATTAAAGGAAGCATAGGCAGGAGCCCTGGCATAGGTAATTGTTGTTGGAGCTGAGAGGATTGGGGAGCCATGAGGCTTTTGAACTAGCCCCTTTTAATTGTGCTATACCGGTAGCCACATGCAGGCTTTGACTGTCTATTTTTTTTTATTTCGTCGAAAAGGAGGGATTGCTTGTAGTCTGGAACCTTTCCCAGCCAGTCGCTAGAGCGACAGTGAAGGGCGACGACAATATATGATTTGTTTTTCTTGGACACGCGCCGCGGACTAAAACGGGAAAGGGGACTTCAGAGTCTGATATTGGACACATAGCCGCTAATAATTGTGCAAGGTCAAAGAACAATTTGAGAGACAATAACTTTGTTGCCATTAGGTCATTTAAGTGTCATGTGTACCCTCTATGAGAAAAAACTTGAAAATTTTCTTCGTTCTTAGAGTGTTTTATTTGCTTTGTTTCTTTCCGTCTACTGAGCATATTTTTGTCTACTCTACCAAAGTTAACAGTAAAACTACAACTCAATCAGTCTTTTATCCCAAAGCAAGAGAATACAAAGTAAGAGAAACTATCCTCATGACCCATAATAATTTTTTAAGTCTATTTTAAATGTCGCGCCTCGCTGGGAAGTTACTCTTATTGCCAGCTTCCCTAATAATGAGGTCAACGATCTCGATATCATCTGTCGCTACGGTTTCTTGTCTTAAAATTTTAAATTAATTTCAAACTAAAAGTTTTAAAACTGAATCCTCTCAAATTTATAAATGTTTGGCTAACCATTTGAATACTTTCCTTTGTTGATTCACAGGCATACAGATGTTTGAATCTACAAAATAATCGCATTAACTGTAGTTTTGGCTAGCTTCTACCAGTGTATTTTATTTTTTTCAATTTCTCGCAACATAGAAGATAATCAATGTCACTTTGTTAAAATTCAAGCAAGATCAGACGACTAATTTGTCTGTAAGGCATAACTTTCTTGCGAAGGAAAAGTACGCTCCAGTATGGAGAGATTACAAACTGCCAGTATGTATGTCATTGGGTCTCTACCATAAAAAACAATTCGACTGCAGACACCACTATTTTAAGGAACTACCCATTCCCGGCTCCCTTTCTCAAATATCGATAAAACAGGAACCCCTTTTTTCTAGGAATGCCGCAAGCTTCCGCGCGGTTTGAAAAGAAGGCTAGGTTACTATTTCTACGGCAGAGAAGGGTGATATGGAAGATAAATGTTGAAGAGCGGCAAGGAAAATGGCGAAGAGTCTGTTTAATAAGGCTGTAGAAGACGCAGCATTAAGTATTTCTTTGCGTCAAGATGGATCCAGGAGTTTTAAAGGTACCCAACTGCATAGATTTTTATAGATACAAGTCAAATTTTGAAAACCAACTATGGCTATTGGTAGTCAATCGATGGTAAAGTCGATTTTCAACAGCTGAAGAACCATTTTAATTTGCGTCTACTTTGTGATAATCTGAGTTTTACTTGAACAGCAATAACCCTTAAGACCTCGCAATGTTCTCTTATGTGAACAGCAAAATAAACAGGTCAGCAGAGCACATCGAATTCAAGTTACCGGAAGGAAAATCCCTTAATTCCTTTTTTGAATACACTACATCTAAGTTATAGTTTAACTGGTTACTTGCTTTGATGCTGCTGAACTCAAGCATTAACCTGTGGGAAGATTATGTGCGACAAAGCGAACATTTCAAACGTGCAGATTCCGCGAATTAAATGTATTTGTTAAAAAAACGGTGACACTGTGGGAACAGTGGTTTGACTGTCTCCATCTCCCCAAAAATTAAACCTTGGATTTATAGCATGATAATGTTTCCATTTGCAAATGTTAGATACAAATCTGAATTAACCTTTTGAATATAAGATGTAAAGTATGTGTTTGTAAACAAATTTATGAAATTGTTATATGTGAATCAGATTACGAGTACTTTAACTAGGAAATGAAAAAGAACTCAGAAGGTATTGGGTATCGGATTATTCTTAGCAGGATTCTTAGGCTAATGATTGATAGCATGAGTTATTCAGTATGTAAATGTAGTATGTTATAAGTTTTAGTTGCACATTGCATTTCACCATTCCTGTTGCCTTATGTTGTCCCTAAGAGAGATGACACTAGATCTGCTGTGCCTGAGACTGACTTCTTAATGGTCACATAGCTTTATAAGCATTTCAGGATGAGAATCTGATCTTCTTGTGTTATTTTAAAAAAACTTAACTTTGATGAACATTTTAGGGACATCTCAAAATGACATTGACCATGATTTTAATTTTTTTTTGTCGATAAACATAACATGATTGCTGCTTTTCAATGGTTATGTAACTTTTTTCTAAAAAAAAAAAGAGGAAAGAAAAAATATTTTAAAAAAAAGAAAAATAAAGACCTACAGTGTGTGGTCACTCTTTTTTTTTTGAGAATTTGATAAGCCAGACAGGGGGCGTTCTTTTCGAGGACAACCAAGAGGTAGAAGCAGGGGCAGAGGGAGAGGAAGAGGTCGTAGTAGTAGCCACCATAGAAGCGATCCTCATCCTAGGTCGCACTTAGCTGGTGATGATGATGATGACATAGACATGGATGAAGGAAGCCAAAGATCTCATTCAAGATAGTAAGTCAGAATAGTATTTTATTTCCTCCTTTTAAACCAGTTAAATATCAAAATAAACTTCTATTTAGGGTAAAGTCTGCTTTTATATATTAATACAAGGATGACAGTTACCATATTTGCTTGATAAAATGGGAGCTGACAGATATTAAACGTTAAGGATTTCTGGTGCAGCAAGTGGCCCTGCCAAGGGTCTAAAGCCATAAAGTCACCTTTTCAAAATTTACTATAGAGTTGACTCCAGTTATTGTGGACACTCTTTGGGAGGAGATTTAGTGTCTATAATAGTGAGAGTCCATAATAGCAGGGTAGGAGAGAAAAAAAATTGTTTTGCTTTTAAACTTATGAAGTAATATGTAACTATTCAAACATTAAGTTTCTATTGTGGCCATAAGCAGGAAATTCTCATGTGTGCCTTAAATTGAAGAATGGTTTCTTTGTTTTCTTTTATCTTAGTGTTGCTTTATATCATGTGAGTCAGGATTTAGGACGAAGTATTTAAGTGTCCGCTATAGCGAGAGAAAAAAACAAGTGAAATATCGCACTGGGGGGCATGAAAGTGTTCATATTTCCACAATAGTGAGTGTCTGTAATAATGGGAGTTTGTGTGTTTAGCCAGTGGAGCTGGCTCTTGCCCACAATGGTGGGGTGACTGTAAAAGCAAGGTGTGGGCAGGGAAATAGTTGAGTGTAAATGTATACTGTATTTTCTCCATTTTCATAAATTTACATTGCATCACTTTTATTGATATGAATGTTTTTGTTTTTTTTTTAATGTAGCAACCCTTATTCCAGAAGACCTCCATCTCGTCGTGGTGACAGAGGAAGTAGTAGAGGTGATATAAAGTCTAGACTAGGGAGAGTCCCTGATGGAGCCACAGGAAGTCAAGGAAATAAGTCTGATTGGTATAAAGTTGTGGTAGGTATTGAAATAATCTACGTACAGTTACAACTACTCATATTTATTTTGTTCCTTCCATAATTTGGTTTTGGAGATCTTACTTGAAAATTGGCCTCCATATATTCCATTGGTATAACCTTGATTTATAATGGTAATAGGACTGAGTGGACTCCTATTCATGATGGTAATAGGACCGAGTGGAGTCCAATTCGGTCTGTAATCATACAAGTGATCAACAAAATTGGATGACGGTAAAGCAGGAGTCCAATTTGTTAATCATGAGTATGATCACAGACAGAATTGGACAACTTGAAGTCCTGTTACTAATCAATCAAAACTATGACAAAATTAGAGAAAGAAACAAGACATCAGTTTTATGTTTTTATAAAAAAAGGAACAACAGCTAAGTTGGCAAAATGCAAGACAACAGCACATGCGCTTGATGCATTCTGTCCACTCATACAAGCATGACATGTTAACTGTCCCTTTAGCTGTCCTATTACACTGTCCAATTACAAGCATGATGCTTACACTGTCCAATTAGTGCCCAAATCAGGCTGGTGATAGTGATTCAAGTTTGGGAATTTTGTTATACATTTGATGAGATACATGTAAATGATATAATCCTTGATGCAATCTCCCCAGCATGTTGAACCTTTTGCTACTCTGTTTAAGTGTTCGAAAATTACTAGTGTGCATGAAAATTGGAATATTTATAGCAATGGAGAAAAACAAACATCTCTGTTATTGTTTTTGCAAGTGGTATGGTAAGGATATTTCATTGCTGCTGCTCTAAGCTACTCATATGATATGTAAGACATTGTGATTGGTGCACAGAGCGTTGAAATTTCTGTCAAGGTGTATAATTTTTTTATTGTTATATTTCTTCCTTTGTATAATTCCTTTTGTATTCTATTCATGTAACTTGTCTATAGATACCACAGGGGAAAAAACACGACAAAGATTGGCTTATTAAGAGACTGCAGAATACATGTGAAGAGGCCTTCCAACCAGTTAGTGTAAGTGACTGTCAGTGAATACCTCCTCATTGTCAAGTGAATAGGGCTTTGCTAGCTGTATGATTGATGATCCCCAAGGGCATGAGACAAAGTATTATTTAACTCTGAGGAGCCAAAGGGACACAAAATCACTTCCTGTTTCATTGCAGTTTTGGTAGGCAGTGTTCTCCTTTTCGGGCAGTAACCAGTTACATTTACCGCCTGTAGTACCTCTTATTACTGTTTAAAATTGCTTGGA